TAATTTTCAACGATTTTTGAGTATAATTTCAAGCACTGGAAATACGACCCTAATGGCAAGGAATTGAGTATGATTTTCAGTGATCACTGCAATACTCAAGTCCTGACTTGAGTATTGAGTAGAGTTCTGGAATACGACCCTGAGTCTCTTTCATCACTAGCTGAGACGTAATTCAACATATATCTCAAACTCTCTGGTATCAGTAGACTATGGTCATCGTCATATTGGATAACTTCAATGATGACAAAGACCTGCACTTTATTGTTTGGGACCTAGGGACCTAATATCGACCTTGAGCTCGGACTTCAGTGCAGTTTATTAGAGAGTGGAAGTTTTGGCAACTTTCCATAAGAAATTGTGGTAATTTATATTAAAAAACTAGCAGGATTAAGTGGTTACGAACCTTAGATCCAGTCATAGCTTAGTAGTAGAGTTTAGTTAGCGTTAGAGCTCCTTGTGAAAGAGTACTCTATTATTGCAGTAATGTGAGCTTTACTGCGTTTCAGTTTTGAAGGGTAAGGCTCAATTTATATTGCGGCGGAACGGAAAGGAAGTTAATTTTTGTAACGGTATTGTACATATCATAATGAATTTTATGCTAAGCCAAAATCTTCCGCGGAATTCTCGCACATGCTCGAGAATGCTCGCGCATTCCGCGGAAGATTTTGGCTCGTATCTAGTTTGTACGTTACACAATTAATCATAAAGTTCATTATGCTAAGTATAATATTGTTACAAAAATTCGCTTCCATCCTGTTCCGCCGCAATATCAATTGAACTTAAGGGTGCCGGTATAATTACAGGCACATGGGACTTGTCAACTTATGTTCCAAGGTGACGGGCGTAGTGGCAGTGCCCCGCAGATTTTTGCGATTTAAGTGGCAACTGTCATGGATAGGCGTGTCGCTTACCACCAGTCGAACGACTTGTTCGTCCCGTTGCTTGATATCCTGATTAAAAATGAATATACACTGTATAACAAGTCCTCAATTTCTGATTCATCCTTGTCTGTTTAATCTGAAACAGTACTATGGACATAAGTACCTTCGTATCATAATCGACACACGCTTTATTAATCGACCTTTTCGAGATACGCGTGATAAGATTTTATCATAAAATGTTTTGTCTACAATTATGGCACTCGATGATTGAATACCAATAAAGTTGAGTGCCTTGCCGATAGTTTAGTCTCTTTGAAAACGTTAAATGTTAAAAAAGTAAGCCAAGTTGCGTGACTCTCTCACTTTACAAAGTTGTGAAATCTCATATGCTATCGGAAGAGAGAAAGACACAAGTAGGAAATAGCAAATGTAATTCCAATAAAAAAACCGAAAGCCGTAGCCGAGAAGCAAACCTTTGAGGTCGGTTTTTTTAAGAAAAGTTATAATTATTGGTATTGTTTATGAAGTAATTATTGTAATTGAATTATATAATAAAAGCACAGTAGTCCTAAATGACATTTTCCAGAAATAACGTTTGGTCGAAATTTCATAACCTCGAAAGTAATTTTGAGAGGAAAATGTTTTTATTTTAAACTCAATTTAACCTAACCTAACCGAACCTAATCATGTCTTTGCGATAAACATTCAACATATCCTGAAATAACAATTGTTTTGTTATAATTCGCTTTTCGATGTAATGAAAATTCGAACAAACGTTATTTCGGAAAAAAATTTCGACTTTGGTAGATTACCGTCCAACATTAAGATAGATTTCTACCAAAATGTATATAACAAAATTTTGATAAAAATGTGAGTTGTATCTTTTTTCGTTTGGAGGAGCACGTTGAGCCAATTTAGCGTAAATTTTACCATTGATACTCCAATAAATTAAACGCCAATTGCTCACCAAATGTATATTTTTTAAACCACTTTAAGTAATTTAGGAGCTCAGAAAAGTGCATAAAGTATTCTTATAGTCATACCTACATGATGAATTGATGAGAGAGAGCTGCCTACATGGCCGTGATTGCTCGACTTTGCGTGGGTACTTCCATGCCCTCAGATAACGATAAAAATGTTATCAATGTTATTTTATCACTTGCATTTCGTGTAGGAGGTTATTGATGTATTTATCATGTCACTCTAGAGTGTTTGATTTGACAACCAACCAAATCCTGAGCATACCGGCCAACTTACCAAGGCCCTATCGACCACTTTGGTTTAACGGGCATGTCGTGCTTAATCAGGTTTCTTTACAGCACTTTCTAGACTGCTTACAATTCTCCTTGCCCCAGATTCGCCGTTTTGTATACCCTGATGGCACACATACGCCTTTGATGTGTTCTGGGAGGTCGTCGTGTAACTTATTACAGTCTTCCAATTCCCTCTTACCTTCAAGAACTGGACTGGCTTGAATTTGGTCTACGCGGCGGCCCGCGCGGCGGCCGGGCGAGAGAGCGCGATCGCGCCGCACGGCCACCGCGCGGTTGTATTTTTCAGAAGAATTTAAATGTTGTTGGCTAGTAAATAGAATTCAGATGCGCCATGAATGTACATGAAGGCGTGGTAACCGGGCAGTCGCCGCGGTCGGATGTCGGATGGAAAACGAGAGTACAGGGCCAGACATGAGCGCGCCACTTTTGCAGTCATAATTTAGTGAACTAAAAATTACAGACGCGCGGCTGCCGGGTCACTGCAGCGCTTTTATAAGCGTCTAAAGCGCCTAAACTTATTACCGAGCTGCAACGTGACGTGACAGATACAGTAACGAGGTTCTAGTGTGTACGCTTGAAACAGTCTTCAATTAGTAGCAGTAGAGCTCTTTGTAAAAGAGTTCGTGCAGGGAAGTACTGCCACCTTACCTATTTCTGCCGTAAAGCAGTAATGCGAGCATTACTGTGTTACGGTTTTGAGGGTTAAGGATGCTGGTGAAATCACAGGGACTTGTCAACTTATGTCACAGGGTGACGGGCGCTTAAAGCTCTGAGTGGCACTGGAACTGCTATAGACAGACGTGTCGCTTACCATCAGGCGCACGACTAGTTCGTCAAATCAACAGGTTTCATTAAAAAAAAGGATTTTCCCTGCCTGGTCCAAATAAGTCACAGTATTGAAATAAAATTTAATGTATTCAGAGTTGCAAAATGTGGTCTTATTGTGGTCTGCTTCTTTAATATTTATCAATATTTTTACGCATTTCTCTTGTGGAATAAAGAGGTTGTTACATGGTTAGAGATGGGTGTTTAAACGAAAAGCACTTTCGTTTTAAGCATAAGCGTTGGTTACTGGTCAGTTCTATAGGGATTCAACAATTTCATTTTTTACAACGTGCCTAAGTTTCAAGTAGCGGCATCTATGTTTACTAAACAAATTAATTCAACATAACGTTGCAAGCTTAAAAAAGCTGTTTAAAAAAACATAAAAGTCTATGCGCTTAAACGTTTTCTAAACGATTTTGTTAGCTTCAAACTAAAAAGCGTTTAAAAAAACACGCTTTTTTAAAAAAAAGCACAACGTTTAAACGTTTAAAAAATAAGCAGTTTTACCCATCTCTATACATAAGTGCCATTTAGATACATATTTCCTCATAAAGTGTATTTCCCCGTAATTAGGCCACGAACGAATATGTATGGCACGCATAAATAATTTTTACATTATCACCTCGGATGATTTGCTTTTTATTGTGTAAGATAGAGTGAGATAGCATGAACTATCTTTTGCAGTAACCGAACTATAGTGTATATAGTGATGTGGCGTGCGCTTCTATTGAAACTACTTTTAACTTGAGTACTAAGAGCAAAGGTTAATGTACGTGTTTACGGAGTTAATCAAGTAAACGGTTTGTGTACTTGTGAATAAATTAAATTATCATGCATAATCATATTATGTACCTGCATATCGCACATGAAACCAAAATTTATTTATTAATAAATTTATGAGAGCAGTAGAGCTCCTTGTGAAAGAGTCCAGGGAAGTACTGCCACCTTACTTATTTTTGCCGCCAAGCAGTAATGTGAGCATTACTAGCGTAGAAAAGCGGTTTTCTTTACATCAAAAAGCTTTTATAATATAGTCGGATAAAAATATGAAAAACACACAAAAATATAATGATTGCTTTCTAGAAGTGCTCTATTTCAAAAACATATATTTTTGTCAGGAAGATGCTTCGCAAAATTGACATAATCGTGTACTTTGTCAACATTATCATGCCATTGTGATTGTTTTAACCTATGAACAGCACAGTGTCCCATTCACAATAAAAGTGAAAAGGAAATATTTTGGATTGGGTCACTATTTTTAAAAAGCACCGATAACTCGTTTCTTAATTTCAAACTACTCACGCATATATTGGCGAACATGTCATAGAGGTCATCATGGAAAAACACCCACACTCAATAATATATAAATAGATAGGAAAAAAACAAGTACAATTACATTCCTTAGTAGATTAATATGTAGGTCTTCACTAATACAATCTAATTGCGATTAACAAAGTAGATAGGTTTGTAAACCTGATTCTGATAAAGAAATTCTTAATAAACATGTGTGATGAACTAATCAATTAGATGATGAAATAATTAGTTAATATAATTAATAATAATCTGCCCCACCATTTACCTGGTTTTAAATTTCCTATACTATGAGTACCAGAGAATCCAGAACACCTAGACCAGAACTAATTAGAAGAAAAGTCAGTTATTAAGTTCATCAGCCTCTCGTAGCTGTAAAGGTATTTGACTGTGTGAAGTGAAGAAACTTTCATAAGTTTCTCACAGGTGGCGGTGACGGCAGAAAAGGCGTCTAAACCCAATATCAGAAATAGGTAAGGGGGCAAAACTTCCCTGGACAAACTCTTTCAAAAAGAGCTCTACTGCTATTAAAAATAAAAAAATATTTAAAAAAAGACGTGATCAAAAACTTTATTGTTAATAAAAAATAAAAAACTTTTAATATACTGTCTTCCTTAGCACAGGAAGACAGTATATTAAAAGTACCTAGAATTAAAAAGAAAGTCTTTCTTTACTTTTTTCTTTCAACATTTTATCTTATTTGTTACAGGCGGCGAGATGCCCGTTAAGGACGGCATCAAAAGGTCGTTGGTTGGCGTCATAGATGATGGCACCAAGACAGTTAGATTCGTGGTACGTTACATAACAACATAATTACCTATTTACGCTAAACACTCAGGGCGCGCTCCCGTTATGTCGTAACGTGTGACGATAAATAAACGTCACGATAAAAATGTTACGACTATCTGTCATTTGAAGCTGCGATTATCTATCGCACCTTCAAACGATTCTGCCGTGCAAATAACAAAGCGACTGCCGTGAACCGATAAATTGTCGCCACGATCTAGTGGGAATAACTAAACACGACAGTCGTTCAACAATAAATAAAACGTTACGACATAATGGGAACGCATCCTTACGTCAAAAAAGTCGTGATAGAAAGTTGTCGTTAATCGTGTTTTACTATATGTGAACAACTTCAATTAAATATACAAGCTCCGACACTTTAAAGTGCACGACTATCTGTTGTCACGACATAATGGGAACGCGCCATCAATGTGTACAACATACAAAAAATATAACATAGGAATGGAATATCGGTGAATCAACCAATTTCTGTAACATCGTCCCTTCAACATCTGGCACCTCCCTTAGATCCCACATGGGATGGTACTGCTAAATATCAACTGGCCACCTATGAAAAGCGTGTTATGAGGCTTGTAGGTGACTCAGAATTTAGCGAAGCTAAACACTAGGCTATGAACACCGCGCCGTAAAGTTGCTTGCTCATCGGCATTCTGCAGGATAAATCTCGGAAACTGTGCGAGGGAATTGCACGATTTCATTTCACCTTCTCCTTTCCATTCCGTGAACGCTATAACTTGGGCCTTTTTAGGCAAGAGTGAATAGACATTATTTGGGTATGCATGCTCCATCGTCACATTCCATCAGGTGAGGTGGGGGTCAAATAATCACTTATTGTTTTACATAAGGATATCGTCGGTGTTTTGAAGAAAGGGCGAAATCGCCATTTTGAAATATTTTTCAGGGAAGCATGTTTTACTTTTTCAAGTCAGTTTAAAAATATTTACGTCCTGTTTTAAAATTCAATTTTGGTTTTAATAAAGCTTTTTTTCCAAAAATTCGGCAGGAAATCCGGTTACTGTCAATGGATTACGTTATTCAATTTTGCTACTCAATTTTGGCCTATTATTGATGATATTGATATCACTAACATGTGGTTTCAACAAGACACAGACACAAGTCACTCGGCCACCGAAACAATGAATTTATTGCAAACCAAATTTCCCGATCGTATAATTTCACGATATTCAGCAGTTAAGTGGCCAGCTCGATCATGTGATTTAACACCGCTGGATTATTTTTCATGAGTCTATACGGAGCCAATCTAATCGATTGCAGCCTTAAAACTCAAAATTTGTGAAGTGATTAACGAAATAGACCCACCATTTTGTCAAAAAGTGATTAAAAACTTTGATGAAAGAATCGACATCTGTGGCCGTGGTGGACATTAATCAGATATCATTTTTTATTCATATTGATTGCCAAATCTTACTTTTTTTAATACAGTAAAAATTTGAATCGTTGTCATCTAAATTTATTGTTTTATTTTGATTTACAAAACTATGTAAAACGTTATTCAACCCAGGTATTAGTATTACCAATTGACAGGTGACTTAAATTACCAGATTAACTATGGACAATGCGACACCACAGTTTGCTTCGTATGCAAATGAACTATGTAAATAACACAAGGTCGAACAAGTTAATAGTATATAGTAGTTGTGGTTTATCTATCCAGTTTTAACCTGCTTTATGAGTGGAAGTTTACAAAGTAAAACGTGACTTAGGTGTGTCAGGTTATTGGCCATTAAGAATTGTAGCTTCAGTTCGATAGCACGACTACCCCATTACAAAATCTAGCAAGTGTTTTAGACAAAATTTTACAGGAGAGCCTAAAACTCAAATCAAGGTCGCCCTTAAACTCTTATTTGAAACAGTAATAGTATTAGGTAAGTTGATGCCACAAAAATGATCACAACTTATACATATATTACGTATTTAATATCCTTCCTAACTTAAATATTTATGTACGTAAGTAAAATGACTGAGCAGCCAGAAACTTGATATTATATTAAAATTTCAATCAATGTGCTGCCATCTAGTGGTTAATTGCTAAACGAATTGGAGTTATTAATTTAGTTCTCCAAAAGAGAAGCGACCATATTGCAGGAGTAATAGCTTTACTTTCGTTTCGTGTAATAAAAAAAATATTTCAATAAACTGAAAATTTATTAAAATAAGACTTTCCGATGATTTGCACGAAAGAATGACACAACCATACCATACAAAGCGAAAATGGCGGACCGAGCTCCATTAAGTTCTTCGAGACCTATAGTCTACTGTATTTATTGTTCTGTGTACCAGACAACCATGCCAATTACCTGATCCCAAACAAGGGAATTTACTGTACTATTGAGTACCAGAGCAATAGTATACTCAGTTAGAACCAATTTAGAAAAGTTCGATTCCATTTGTCATACCAGGAATTGAACCCGGGATCTCCTAATCCAGTGCCCAAAGTTCAAATCGTCACGTCAGGCCACCGAGATTGTCAAATTCACTCGTTACAACTTTGACATCACAATTCACAAAATACCTTTAACCACGTTGATTTTACATTGAAAAAAGTATATTTAGAATTTACAAATACTAAAGTATTTCGAATTGAAAATCAATTAAAAATAACAAATTTTCCATTAGTATTTGCTCACCTGTTCGAATGTTGAATACAAATTACGTTATTGTACTTTGTATATCTATATGTGTCGATGTTTTAGGTTTTCGCGGTTGTTACACATAGGAAATGAAACTATTTTTCCGGATTAATAATAATAATAACGCACACACTCAACATAGCCCCGCACTAGGGAAATCTTGTGTCGCGGATGGAAACACACATTGACAACTACAAATTACACCCAAACTCATGAGAGAAATAAATGTACGCCATACAAATATTTCTCCCGGCCCGGGAATCGAACCTGGGACCGCTGCGTGGCAGTCCGGCATGGTAACCGTCCGGCCACAGAAGCAGTTAAAATTTTTAAGGATTTAAATCGCATATATTTGTTTTTTTTTTTTCAAACAAACCGACGTTTTAAGTCCCTTAGTGACGGTTATATGTTTCACAAATGATTTTATTTTAACAATATGAATCTTTATTAAGTTAAATTTATTATTAATTAATAATGGAAATTAGAATAAATTAAAACATATTAATCAGTACTGCAGTCTTCTGGATCTGGATCCCAAACTGGTGCTACGGAGAAACCATCTTCCCTGCCGAAATTAGGATGTTATGTAACGGACTTCTTTTGCAAGGACCTGGAGCTTGTCAACCTTGATTGAATGTTTAGTCCATGTAATCCATGACATGCTCGCAAACTGCTGACTGGTTTACGCGGCGGTGTTTGACATCAGCTATATGTTCTTTGACGCGGGTACAAATACTTCGCTTCGTTTGTCCAATATAAGAGAGACCGCACCCGCAGTCAAGCTTGTAAACTCCTGCATCCTGTAAGGGGATGTTACATTTCACGGGTCTCTGGAACTGAGACATTTTCCTCAGGGGCTTGATATAGGTCTTGATAGACGCACGCTTGAGGACTCTTCCGATCTTGTCTGTAACACCTCTCACGTAAGGTAAAATGGCAGGTCTTCGCTCAACTGTTGGTGGTTTCACACGGCATCTGTGGCATTGGCGTGGAATCGTCAACTCGCATGCAGGACCTGCTTTATATGCTGTAGTTTCCCCGCCACATGATTACTGTTGTATAAAATGTTAGCAATACAATCTTGCGAGGTTGTTAGTGTTTTAAAAATAACCCTGTATATTCTGGTTACAAAATAAGCTAGGTTTACATTGTCTATGTAATAGTAATGTATAAAAGGTGTTTCTATTGTGTTGCTTGTACGTGATATCATATGTACTTATTACGTACGTAAAGGAATATGTGAAAAGAAATATGCGTGACGCGAGGTATGACCTTGTATATTGTACATATATACTGACATAATTCAGCATGGATGAAAGGGTTATGAGGCAATGACAAAAGGTAAATGAACTGGTGATATAAACGTATGCATTGTGAGTATACCTCGTGGAAAATAAATTAAAATTGTGATTTATGATTTATCGTCATAGGTATTTTGTAGCTACTTGTGGAAGAGTTCGTTCAGGGAAGTACCGCTACCGTGCTTATTTCTGCCGCGAAACATTAATAATAAATAAATAAATAAAGCACACACTCATAGCCCCGCACTAGGGAAACCCTGTACCGCGAGTGCCATGGACACATACATAGACACCTAGAAATTACACCGAAAACTCACTTGAGAAATAAATATAGGCCATACAAATATTTAACCCGACACAGAAATCGAACCCGAGACCTCTGCGTGTCAGAGCAGCATGGTAACCGTTCGGCCACGTAGGCAGTTTGTTTGGCACCAATGTTTTTATATAATAAATAAAGTAATTTGTTTCGCATTTCTAGGGTCCATTCTTAAATTATAAAATTGATTAGAAATTCAATTTAATATTAAAAATAAATAAAAATAAAAATTAGGAGCAAAATTTAAATTTAAATCACAATCGAAACCAAAATCATAACCACAATTAACCATAAAATAATAATTTAGCTCTGTATGTTCTGTATTAATGAGAGAATGGTACATGTCAACTTGACAATTAACGAAACCCAATTGCGGAGAAGAAGAGAGAATTGTAGTAGCAGGTAGGGCTCTTTGTGAAAGTGTTCGTCCAGGGAAGGCAGTACACCTTACCTATTTCTGCCGCCAAGCGGTAATATCAGCATTACTGTGTTCCGGTTTTGATAGGTAACTAGCTCTGAGTGGTACTGCAACTATTATGGACAAGCGTGTCGCTTACCATCAGGCGGATGACTTGTTCGTCCCGTCACTTATTATTATAAAATAAAAAGACACCACAACACCACGCTCAACCGGTATCAGTCCCTATGAGATGATACTTGGGAGATCAGTTAGAACTAACTTACGTGCATTATTGGTTAAACCAACAACGACCACATTACCACCTCTGGTACCCAATTTCCCAAGTCATAACTATAAGGCTATATATTTAGAAAATTACTTTAAATAATCCCGGTTGCGTTTTTGACACAAAATTAGGTGCTCAATACGTCATTATATTTAGTATATTTTAATATGCATTGGCCGTTTAACGCGTTTCCTAGTAGGTTTATGTCGGGCCTTAGGAGATTAATTCCACGAGTAATATTGTAAACAAATCTCAGCACAGAGTACTAAAAAAACGGACCTCAAAGTTCTTAGAATTAGTTCTTAGTTTTATTGAAATCGGTTACCGGAAAGTGCGCGATTGCCACCCTTGGAGATGGAGTCGAATTGTGAACCTCTTTTTTTAAAGTCGATTAAGAAAGGTCTCCATGGAAAAGGTCTAACTAGTTTAAGCCATTGTCCATTTGTTTCTTTTTTGTTCAGGTACGCCATGTTAATTAGGTCATTAAATTATCTTCTTATCTTTCCTCAGATATTCGAAGCTGAAAGTTCAGAAGAACTAGTAGCGTATCAACTAGACAAAACGGAGATACAGCCGCAGGAAGGATGGTACGAACAGGACCCTAAGGAGATCATGCAAAATATTAACAAGTGCGCTGAGAACGCGTTGGAAGAGTTGTCAGAACTAGGTAAGTCTATTTAACTTTTGTTGGCAACAGGAAAGACAACTATGCACTGTATAGATTATACTTTGCTCAATTTATGCCACAGTCCTTTACAGCACTCTGCAAAATTGGTCTTAAATGAATAAATTTGTTATACAATTACACCAGCTAAAGGCGGTTTTCCACCGGCGAGGCGAGACGAGACGAGAACCGGCTTATTTTCAGAAAAAATTCCATTAATAGCTCTGTGGTTGTGGATAGTGACAATTCAGTGCTGTTGAGTTCGTTTAGCTATAAACACACACCTGAAGTGACATGTCAGACATGTTAGATAAACTTATCACCCTTTGTTGCCCGTGGGACTACCAGCTGAACTACTAGTTAATAATCTCCCGTGTTACTACCGACAGGCCTAGTGGTATCACGGGTAATTGTTTTTGTCCGTGGTACTACCACTAGTAAATCACGTACCCAATTAATTATTTGTCAATGTTTCAGGTTATTCTAGGGAAGACATCGTCTCACTAGGCATCACGAATCAGAGAGAAACTACTATAGCCTGGGACAAGTTCACTGGAGAACCTTTGCACCCTGCTATAGGTGAATATCACACGCCCACGCTCACGCCCACGCCCTCGCGCACGGACACACACACACACACATACACACACGCACACACATAAATACTTACCAATATCGTATTGGGTATAGTCAACACATGAGGGTGCCATATACAAACACATAGACAATCACAAACTCACAAGAGAAATACATAAATGTAGCCCAAACAAATATTTCTCCCGGTCCAGCTAATGGACTCGGGACCTCTGCGTGGTAGACCAGTGTGGTAACCGAAAACTAAATGTTTTCAACTAAATTTTACGAAATTTGGCAAGAACACAACCTCTGAAGTCGCGTGTCTTGCACACCGGTTTTCATGGTGTAGCCATCCCGGGTTCGATCCCGGCCGGGTCAATGTAGAAAAAGTAACTTTTCAACACATTGTAATTGTGGTAACGTCGTTGTTTCCGATTTCCATAACACTTACTTTGGCTTTGGGATCAATGAATCTAAAAAAACCGACCTCAAAAGTACGTGGAATTACGTCTATTTGCTAAGTTTTATTGAAATATCCTCTAGTTCGACACTATACAGGACTTGATACTGGAGATAATAAAAATCGGTTCACTCATCATTACTCAAAGTATATTGAGAGAAAAACGCCTTGAATTGGAGAAATAGCAAAATCAACCATTAAAATAATTGTTCCTTAAGTAAAATTTTGGCGCTATTTGTAAAAATGCATCTTCATGCGTGAACAGCCACCCTTAGAGGTGGATGATTTTCTTCAAAATGAAATGGGACCACTATGGAAGTACCCCCTTTCCAACAAAAAAAGAATCATGAAAATCGGTTCACAAATACCGGAGTTATCGCGTAACATACGTACAAAAAAAAAACATACAGTCGAATTGAGAACTCTCCTCCTTTTTTGAAGTCAGTTAAAAGCAACATAACCGTTGGTGCGACTGGGAATCGAATCCAGAGTCTCCACATCCAATGCCTACAGTGCATACCATTAGGCCGCCGAGGTCGTCATATTTATATTTATTATTGTTATTTCTTAAACACAAAATATAACTACCTAATACTAGCTATAGGTGCCTAACTATACTAGATCTAATTACTCACAGGGCAGGGCATCCTAGTTTGGGAACCTGGCACAACTTTGTACATATTTCTATGTTTTGGCAACGAAGTTATTATTTTTACTCTTTATTACTACTAAGCTTCTTACTTTATGTCAAATTAGACAAAACTTTCATTATTTACAATTTTTTTCAGCATGGAACGACATCCGTACAGTCAGCACAGTGGACGCGATCTTGGCGAAAATACCAGATCAAAATAAGAACTACTTAAAATCCATAAGCGGTCTTCCCATTAGTCCATACTTCAGTGCTTTAAAGATGAGGTGGATGAAAGACAATATTAAGAATGTTCGACGAGCCAGTCGCGACAAAAAGCTTTTGTTTGGAACTGTTGACTCTTGGATTGTTTGGGTGAGTTCATTTATTCTTCACAGTCTTTGTGAAGTCTATAACATCCTTGTTATAAGTCTACACAGTATAATCAAATCTTTATAGTCCTTTTACAAGTTTATTACGTTTCTAGTCTTTTAACTAACATGTGAACTAATCAATTGCTTTTTTCTAAGAATTTTTCTTTATGTTCGATCTTTGTATTAAAATCATAACAAAGTAACCTAAATTGAACTGTACTAAACTAAATTGAATATCATGGCGGTGAAACATTCTGACGTTCAATAACAATTTGATTACATTTAATAGCGACATCTCTTGCCAGGGCTGGTAGCTGTAAAGGTACCTAACTGGGTGACGAAATACTTTCATAGATTTCTCATAGATGGCGCTACGGCTAAAAAGTGGTTGAAAAACCAATTACAAAGTTTCACACAAAAACAAGCACATAGAAAAATTCGTGAGGTACGCTGCCTGGTTCGTTCCGTAGCTTTGTTAGCATAGCGTCTGGCGCGGTTTGCTAAAACTAGTCAAAGCTCGTTACTCACATAGAGTTTTATACAATCCTAGATATCGGTTATTAGATAATCACTCTTTCAGTGAATTCAGAACTTTAAAACGCTCCCCTGTAAACTTGGCAATTTCGACATACGATACTTTACGTAGGAGGGGTAGAAATATATATATCGTGGTAGTAAAACATCGTCATATTCAATACACTTTATATTAAAGTTGGTAATGTTACCCTGGAGATAGGGAGAAATTGCACACACACAGGCACATGGCTCTTGTCAACTTATGTCTCAGGGTGACGAGCGCAATGTCAGTGCCCCTCAGATCGTTGCGATTTAAAGCTCTGAATGGCACTGCAACTGTTATCGACAGGCGTGTAGCTTACCAGCAGGCGCACTTGTTCGTGCCGTCACTTGATATTAAAAAAAATAAAGAAAAAACAAGTTTAAAAATTATTTAAAAAACAAAAACCTGACTGCAAAAATATTTAGCGGGAAAGATAAAAAAAAAATATATTTTCTATTATGATTATTTTTATAGCCTATGACACTCCCACAATCAAGACGATTCTAACGACACCTCGAATGTCAGAATCCATCACGCCGTTTACGCTGTACAGCGTGAAAAAGAAATGGACATACATACACTTGAAAAACAATCCTCCCGCAGTCGGGTAAAAAAGATTTACTTTGATACCTAATCTTGTTTTCCCAAGTTGCGCCACGCATCTAGCACCCTTTGGATTACAGAGAGCTTTAAATTATTAATTAATTTCAGAATTTAACCGGCGGTCCTAACGGAGGTCTTCACATAACCGATGTGACCAACGCGTCAAGAACATTGCTTATGAACTTAGAGACTTTGAACTGGGACCCAATGCTTTGCCGGTTAGTGATATTTTATATCGTAATTCTTTTTAAGACTTGATGCTACCTCAGCTCGAATACAATTTTTTCCCGCACTAATACGGTTCATTTTGCTTGGGTCGAGCGGCAGGGTCACTGGCTTTATTTCAGAATTTATTTTTTGCAAACGCAATTAATGCCATTTCAATGTATGTTGTATGGCATATGTGTTCTATTTAGTTCAGTTGATATTAAAAAAAAAAACATTGGTATATGTAAAGTACCTATTGAATGCAGCGGTTTTCTTGCAAAATTTCATGGTGCGTTTGTGTTTTTTTTCTATCGTGAAAATTTTTCGGAATCGTGTTTTCACACTGTATGGTAATCAGTATACATCCTCAATTTTACTATATATTTTTTTCCAAATTGATTGATTCAACAGTTGCATTGTTATACGGAATCAACCAAAGCCATTTGAGTTTGTATAGATCTTAATAAGCCATCAGAAGTAATGAAATCTGCAGGGCTAAAAAGGCCGTTTTGGCAGAATCATAATATGATTAATTGATAATTCATCAAATTATGAATTTCTTGCAATTCATATAACGCAATTCATCTATTTGACAGTGTTCCATGGAGGTAGAACCATAGAACACTGTCAAATAGATAAATTGCGTTTTTTTTGTTTTAAAATGTACGATATGAATTGTCAATTAATCATATTATGATTCTGCCAATGCGGCCTTTTTGGCCTTGCTGTTCTGATGGGACAATGAACGATATTTAGAGAAGTTAAATTCAATTATTTTCCTTTTTTCTGTACATAGTTATAGTCGACTCAAAAATCGTTGATCGTCTGGAGATTTTCATTATTTATTTACATCAGTAACAAAAAATGAATCGATTAAAGCCATAAATATATCTTGTAGAAAATATAATTTTTTTGGAAGTGTGTAGCCGGCGCGATGTAATTTTTGTGACACATTATTTTTCTTTTTATAATTTTCAGGCTGTTCGGCATTCATCGAGACTCGTTGCCGCAAATCGTTAGTAGCTCCGAGATATACGGCCTAGTTAACGACAGCTCCGTCTTAGATGGTATTAGAATATCTGGGGTAAGTTGTACATGTATACTACGCTTGGAATAAACAAAGGCACTACTAACATTTTTTTAAATCAAAATTACGAAGTGTACATATTTGGGATCAGGAAAAAGAGTCCAATCTACCTAATTTTTTGTAGAAATCTATCTCAATATTTATTGGATGTACGATTAGCCGACTTTTTGGTTCTGAGAGCCTTCAATTCAACAGAAAAGTGTGAAGGAATTCCAGCTTTTTGGTTGAAATTTGTGTCTGTGTAATGTAATTAAAGATCAAATTGGCTTAGAAACTTTCTTAAAACGTCGTTAACTAATGATGCAATAAGGAAGCCATATCTTAAATGAATTTTACTGCACAAAGGTTAATTTGGTTTAACACCTTTCTTTACTCGGATCGACTCAGAGACAAATAGTCGATTACGGGGATCAGGTATCTTTTTTTATTTAGTAGTGAAAGAGGGAAGTACTGCCACCTTACCTATTTCTGCCAACAAGCAGTAATGTGAGCATTACTGCGTTCCGGTTTCGAAGGGTAAGGGTGCTGGTGAAATTATAGGCACATGGGACTTGTCAACTTATGTCTCTGGGTGACGGGCGCAGTTGCAGTGCCCCTCAGATCTTTGCGATTTAAAGCTCTGAGTGGCACTGTAACTTTTATGGACAGGCGTGTAGCGTACCATCAGGTGCACGCCTTGTTTGACCTGTCACTTTTTTTTTAAATTCATTTAATAATCACAAAAACATTAACACGGTTTTACTTTACACTCTTAAACCTAAACGGATTTGTATGAGAACGATTTTATTAAATGTAAACAATATACGAAAAAAAGATAATATTATGAAGGTATAAAGCAAATTAATATTAACAAAAAGTTATGCAAGCCACCGATTTACCGCCGCATCAGAGTACGCGCTGTTGCAGGGAAACCAGTTCCACTAGCAGCATTATACGCGCGCATAGAGGCTGTTCGAAATCAATATATAATGTGCCACTACTAGGCATGGATTACTTATAACAAAAACAAAAATGAAGATAATAAATATGTACTATAAATATTATTATTATGTTATGTATGTATAAGTAGATTATAAAAAAATTACATAAAATATATTGCTAAGTTATGGATAAGAAAAAATTTTTGATGGTATATTTTATATTTTTTTGATCAATTTTTCTTTCTGTTTTTTTAATTTATTTTTGTACAAACAGTCATTACAATATTAATTTTTTGTTTAAGATACAGTGGTAGCGTGTTTATAAGTCTAGGAACCAAGTAATTGGTCGTACGAGCACCATAAAAATTACGAAATTATTAGTGACCTGGCGTGTGACTATGCCAAAGTTCTTTAAATTTTTGTTAAATTTTAAGTAGTTTTCTGTCAACAAAACTAGATTTAATCGTTTTTGTATTGGTAGCACTTGATATTATAAAAAATCAAATCAAATCAAAAAAGAATTAAAACAAAATTTTGGGCATCGACTGTAAAATAAGCTCACTAAATGCACAATTAACATTTATATTATATTATTTACATATGAACAAAGTTTTCTACTATAAAAAGTCATATTTAGCGTCGCATCGGACCCTCAATAATATATTCTTAATTAAATGCAATTTTTCCAGTTGGTTTTCGCGATTGTTACACAAAGGAAATGAAACTATTTTTTCGGCTCTATATCGAGTATATTTGTTTTTTTCAAACAAACCAACGTTTCGGTCCCTTTACTAAAATTAATAGAACAAATACGAATAAACAAATAGTCAAAGTGTCCAAAAATATACCCGACACTTGTTTCGGCTCTCACTCGTTAAAATTTGAAAATGCTCGCAATTATGGATGACACAATATAGAAAAGCAAATTGTGCAGGGAAATAAGTTTCATGTTTTTTTTTTTTATGTTAGAACCAATTAGAAAAATATGTTGTTAATCCAGAACCAAAAATCGTGTTACATGGTGTTATTTTTGATTCCACAGATACTAGGCAATCAGCAGTCAGCGTTAGTTGGACAAAGCTGCTTATCTGCTGGCCAAGCGAAGAACACCTACCGCAGTGGATGTTTCTTACTATACAACACGGGCACAAGGCGAGTGCAATCGACACATGGACTTATTACCACCGTAGCTTATAAACTGGGACCGGATTCACCCGCTGTTTATGCTTTAGAAGGTGCGTATATTATAGTCTGTCAAATTGGTGCGCGATGCGCCTAAGGGGCTACGGGCGTTGGACGGACTAGGTAGTACGACGCGTTAGGTGTGCTACATGCGATCAAGATTACGCGAGATGTTTCCGAAGATATGGGAAACAAACTTTTTTATGGAGTAAATTTCGTTGCTGCGGTACAGGTAGCAGTGGCAACAGGTAAGTTGTCAATCAGGACAATAGGCAGGGAGCTGCCCGCTACGTGCACCCGGGGTCGCTTACTCAAGGCACTATAGTCCATTTCACAGAGGATGGGTACTTAGTAGCCGTACATGCACCTGGGGTCGCTTACCCAAGGTACTATAGACCATTTCACGGAGAATGGGTACTGTGACATTACAAATTTTTATTTTAAATGTCACAGTACCCGTACGTCTACCCGGGGTCACTTACCCAAGGCACTATAGTCCATTTCACAGGGGATGGGTACTGTGAAATTTCAAATTTTTATTTGAAATGTCACGGTACCCGTACGTGCACCCGAGGTCGCTTACTCAAGGCACTGTAGTCCATTTTACAGAGGATGGGGACTGTGACATTTCAAATTTTTATTTGACATGTCACAGTACCCGTACGTGCACCCGGGGTCGCTTACCCAAGTCCATTTCAGAGAGCATGGGTATTGTGACATTTCAAATTTTTATTTCAAATGTCTTAGTACCCGTACGTGCTCCCAGGGTTGCTTACCAAGGCACTGTTTACCATTTCACAGAGGATGGATACTGCGACATTTCAACAAAAAATTTGAAATGTTACAGTACCCACATATTTAAATACATAGTAAGTACTGAATTTAGCGTAATGATTGTTAAAATATGTAAACTATTGATTAACACAGATAAGTTTAGTGTACTTCGAAGTTCTTATAAGACTATTTTGTTCTTCCTTGAGCTCAAAACATTTGACTCAAAATAAAATATGTTCCTCTTACTACCCGCTCACGCGATACATGCAGCCGTAGACGCATACCACACCTAGAGGTGCCGGTGATGAGTTTGTACCGATTTATCGGATTTCGAAGTTATAACAGGTAAAAGAATTAATATTAATTGCTATTTCGGTAACTACTCTAGCAAACCATAAAGTTTTTAATGCCGGGGTCTGTCATTTAAAAAAAATAAACAACTTCAAAAATACGTCAAATCGTGTGTGTTATTGTTTGGGCTGGTGATTTCGGTGTTTATTTATTGAAAACATACCGTAAGTAGCGTTTTTTAAGTTTACCCTGAATATAAATGTTTATAAACTATACTTTAAGGAGTAATTTCATGGTAAACGTTAAAACCACTTAAACCGAATATTATCATATTTATCCAAATACACCAAAAATTTCATTAGTGCTTTTTAAGTGCAGGATTTGCGGTGTATTACTGCATTTTATTTGAGATGTTTTTGTTGGTAGTACGGAGGGTATTTATTTAGCAATGCAGAATAATAATTTTTATTTATAAAAACTTGTATTTAAACTGAATGATTTTCTAATTGCGAAACCAAATAGCCGCCATTTTGCGGTAGAGTGCGTGAGCGGCTACACCTGACCCTAAATTCTGTTTAAAAAATTTCAGGTTCTATAGCGGTAGCGGGCGGCGCTATGAAGTTTCTCAGAGACAACCTGAAACTGATCAAAGACGTTGCGAAGGACACTGAACAAATCGCCGGTCAAGTTTTCTCTACGGGTGATGTCTACTTTGTACCAGCTTTCAGTGGATTGTATGCGCCTTATTGGAGGAAAGATGCTAGAGGGTAAGAATTTTTATGATTACCAGAGATTTGTTAATTAGTAGAATTATTTATTAATATTTTTTTTGTAATAACTAAGTGACGGGACGAACAAGTCGTGTACTTAATGGTAAGCGACACGCCGGTCCATAACAGTTGCAGTGCCACTCAGAGCTTTAAATCGCAAAGATCTAACGGCACTGCTACTGCGCCCGACACCCTGAGACATAAGTTGACAAGTCCCTGGTGCCTGTAATTTCACTTCGCAACCGGAACGTTTGTTCCGACGCGCGCTATCGCGTGTCGATGCTTGGTTAAAGTCGAGCGGTTTTGCGCGTCGCCGAGCGTTACTTGGGCGCAGTGACGCGTTAGACGCTGACCACACTGTGATCCGGGCGAGCTAATGCGAGAGTCGTCGCACGATGAAGCGCTTCGCCATGTGTTGTAGTTGAAAAACACGACGCAACGCGACGCTTTGCCTCTGCGCCAGTGTGAGTTGAGCCTTATTGTCCAGCGCCCCTAGCGGTCACAAGAAGAAACATCATTTTGCGCGGTCGCTAGCAATAACTGTCATTGTAACATGGTAGACTCAGAGGTGTCCTTTGTACATAGTGAAGTTTTTGTTAAACGTTTGTTATTATTTCTTCTTATTTCAGGATAATCTGTGGACTAACAGCGTTCACAACTAAAAACCACATAATAAGAGCTGCTTTGGAAGCTGTATGCTTTCAGACCAGGTAATAAATTGTTTATAACTAAACACTAGCGTCCCTATCTATATTATAGAACTTAATCATGTTATACGCTTTAGATTACATGGCTATGAATTTATTTATTTATGTTTATTTGAAAGTACGTAAATTTTTATGATAAATCAAAAATTATTTCGAATTTAAACAGTGGACCAAAATATTGACGGATGCATTGGTAGAGGTTTAAATGGCAACACTAAACCAGCCTATCTCTCGGTCCCGGCTAAGCCGTAAGCTATAATGGCGCATTTATACCGCGTCGTCTGCAGACTACTTCGCCTGCCGAAGGGGACGTGCTGCCTTCGACAGACGCTCCCAGTCGCTTCTGTCGATTTTGGCTGCAAACGACTGTCGTCTGACGGCTCACTATTTACACCGAAGGTCGCCTGACAGCTTGGTGTAAATTCGCTATAAATAAATAAATAAATCATTTATTTGGCATCCAAGGCCCACTTGTTTGTAACAACAGACATTTTTAAACTTATGACTATTGTTAGTATATACAGAGGCAAAACATAAAAACACACATTATATCGCTCGAGGCACCGCCGACTACCCCGTCATCTCACCAGAACGTGGATAAAATGACGAAGCATCGGCGCATCGATCTTAGCAGCAAACGTTTTACGCCATAAGAACCTAGTACGCGGTCTCCATGTTGTAAATATTGCACGAATTTTTTTTGCCTTTTCAGGGACATTTTGGAAGCAATGAACAAAGACTGCGGCATGCCGTTGTCGAAGCTTCACGTGGATGGGAAGATGACGTCGAACGACTTATTGATGCAGCTGCAGGCAGACTTGACCGGCATTCCAGTTAGTGAGTACATTACATATATAATTATATTGTAATGGAGCCAGCGCAATCACTGGAGACTTAATATATATCGTTCCTGTCATAATATGACTATAAAATTTCGGTACAGTACCCCATGTATAGATCTGTAAAGCCTAAATTAATAGTCTGCAAGTACAGCCTTGGTTGCGCTTCTAGTTAGCTCCTGAGATCGTGTTGTCGGTTATTATAATAATATTAGAATGCCGGGAAACTTGATGATTTTATAGTTCAACTTCCGTCCTGGTACGCTTTCTAAAAACAATGTAATATCGACTGTGAACTGGCAATGGGTACTATCTCAATGTTGACAACTTTACAGGTGAAGAAAAAAATTGATTGCGTCGTTTATATAGCATCTGGTTTATTAAATAAAAATACGTAGTGTACATATAAATGTGTATATAAGTGACGAGATTTCTTCACCTGCAAAGTTGTCAAAATTGAGATAGTTCCGGTTGCCAGTTCAGAGTTCCCAAGTGACTGAATGATTTGTAATTAATTTAAACAACGCCCTGGTTGGAGTATTGACTGTGCCGTGTGCAGTGCGCGCGCACACGCGGGACATGGCGGCGCTGGGCGTGGCCATGGCGGCGGGCAGCTCCGCGGGCGTGTGGAGCTGCGACGCCTGGCGCCGCCGCGCCGCCAACTGCGACACCTTCCTGCCCACCACCACGGACGACGGTGGGTACACTCGACTTTTCCTGTGCAGTTCAAGTCTTTAACAAAACACCCGAAAGTAATAATAATAATTTTTTCAATCATTATTTTTTTATGGGGATTTTGTTCCAATGAACACGTCACCCTCATAATGACACACCCAACGAAAAGGTTACAAAGCTTAAATAATGACTTTGGTCTGTTTTTAAGTAACGGAGATGCCAAAATACAGTTTGCACTACCAATATTATTATTTTTAATTTGCAAGTCAGATCTTTGATCCTCGTTCCGTTTGCACTCCATAATTATGTGGTAAACATCTTCGACAATCCCACATTCACTACAATTTGGACTGTCAGATTTCCCCATCATATAGTAATAATAACCCACACACTCAAGCCCCGCACTAGGGAAACCCTGTATCGCGGGTCTCATGGACACATAGACAACTCAAAATTACACCCAAACTCACGAGAGAAATGTAGGTCATACAAATATTTCCCCCGGACCAGGAATCGAACCTGGGACCTCTGCGTCGCAGTCCGGCATGATAACCGTTCGGCCACGGATGCAGTTAAAGACACAACCATAGACAAAAAAATGCAATACTTTCTGGACTCTTATTTTTAATTTTAGTGAAGCGACGTGCTCTTAGCTTAAGTAACGAAGATTATTCAAGTTGATAAATTTTGGTTGTCTAATAAATTATAATGAAATGAAATAAATTATAAATAATTATAGTAAATTCTTATTGTTTATCAATGAATCGTGGGATTCTTCTCTATATGAACGAGAATCATCACTTGAATTCTCGTTAATATTAATTATTATTAATTCTTGTGTACACAAATTGTCACATGCAACATCACGATCCCAATCAGACAATATCTTCTGTTTTGTACCCGTTCACATTCACGATTTACACTTCTTTATAAATAAAATCGATTGTTATAAAAATTCGAACCGGAAACGCCGTACGTCACTAATTGATTAGAATTCGAGCTGTCAAAAGTTACATAAATGGTTGAATGAGGGTTACCCTACTGCGGGGTTATGTTGAATGTGTGCATTATTATTATTATTATGTCAGTAATTACGGAACTTCCAAGGCACGCGTGTCAAAAGTCAAATAAATGGTTGGACGGTGTATAATGGTTATATTACTGTATTGTAATATAAAGGATAAGCTGTTCCAAGAGATAACATTCATTGGTGCAAATAATATTTCTTCAACTCTACACAGTTACAAAAACAGCTTTTTTTCCAGATCGTGACGCCCGATACACAAAATGGAAAATGGCAGTGCAACGGTCCCTCGGTTGGGCTACGACCAAGAAATCCATCGCTATGACAGGTCAGAGACGAAAAAATAGCATGCAAATAAGCGTAGATAATACCAGTCGAAAGGACTCGGTGACCAGTAGAAACGACTCCGTAGTAGAACATTTAGAACAACGAGTGAACGTCGTTGTTAACAACGAGGACTTTGTTGAAGATCTCCTGAATTATTCGGTTAGAAGGTATTCCCTGTTCTTGCCGACTCGTACGCCTAAAACTGAAAGGTCGATTTTAGACGACGCGGAGTTCTTCATGAGTAAGAAAGAATGCGATTACGGTACATGTCAGTGTTGCCCTACGGAGAAAAAGGTGCAAACAAATTGGGAGTCTATTGAGGAAATTATTGAGAACGACCCGGAGATTATTTTTGACTGTGATGACAACCCTATTGTCGTTGAACCTGTAAAGAAATTTGACTCTCTGTTACTCGATTCTGGGTCCAATATTATGAGCAGTGGCATCAGTTTGACTAAGCGTATTCAATTGGAAAAACTGCCTGATATTTTTAAAACAATTTGCAACAAGTTGTCGCATACCTCTTTGACGTAATCGGTTAAATACATACGTGGTCGTGGATCAATAGTAGAAATATTTATTGTCGTTGTCAAACCATAAGCAAGGCCTGCAATCAACGGTTTCACTTAAATTTTTTTTAGTCAACAAACAGTTACTTATTACAAGTACGTGGTCATCGAGTATATAACCAGAAATAGAGACGAAAGAAGGGCTATCCATCCCTGGCAACTCATCATGTAAATAGGCCTTATATCACTTTTAAATATCAACTCTCGTTTGCGCTGAAATCACAAATTAGAAAACTGAAATAGTACAGCGCCAACAACTGACCTGTGTGTACGTATATTCCAAAAATATTCTATATTTATTGAAACAATCTCTAACAATCGGGGCTGTTCCATTCGGTGGTGTGGGGAAAAGAGCAAAACAGATGTTTATGATTACAGAACAAACGGAATCACATTTCATCGGTAATTAGATATTAAATATGTAATTTTGCAATTTTCGTCCATTATAGCAATGCTCAAGTTAAACTGGTCGATTTGAAGTGAAATAATTGACAACACCCGTCAACTGTTTCGAATTCGGGCTGGCCAATCGGAGCGCAGTTGTCACAGTAATTATTTGGCAGAATAGTTTTCAAACAAATTAAATGATATTTCGTCTCTATTTCTGGTTATACATGTACTCGACGTACATAGTCCATATCTAACAAGTAGTGGCTTAATCCAACACCGTTAACCGTAGTTTACGTAAACAGTTTTCAAAGTTCAGTAAACATTACACTTCTAATTCAGTGGTCGCACCACTCACAAGCCTACACTAAGTGCCAGTGTAAACCGGCGGAGAAGGCATAGGATATGAATGTTTGTCAATGTACTTATTTATTTATTCATGGAAAACCAACAGCTTCTTACATTTAATAAAAACAGGAAAGAAACATAAAGCCAATTACAGGTTTCCACCTATAACTTCGGACAAATCAAACTTTAAAGAAATGAACAATAAACAGTATTTCTTAGCAACATGCACTTACATAAATATAACAATACCAGGCGCTAATCACAAATGATGAAATAAAATTAAATAGAATGCCCGTGAGTTTAAGCTTTAGCTCATCAACATTACAATAAAATATATCAACATCCAGGTCATGATTGCTCAGCACACTATCCAGCTCTTGCTAGCTGTATGTAGAAAACTATTTTGTCTATAATTAGTCCTTGCTAAGGGAACTGCAACAAGGTGATAGTATATCATACAACGCTATCCATATAAATAAATGTACATATATTTTATGCTATGTCAATGATAATAAAGTATAAATTTCAAATGGAAATAAGATGTAAATATCAATGCTCCGAGATCGCAGCGCATATTATTATCTTTCTGATACCGCGACGGTGTTCATCGATCCTTCGCCGAAGCCAGCCTTAGGGGCTGCACTGATGGAGCAACTTTGATCATCGAGTTTCGGCAACTGGCAACCCGCAACTAGCTGTTTATGACGTTTTTTATATAATTTCAAGAAACCGCGCAAACGTAGCAACTTCAGTTGAGAGTTTCGGCAATCGCCTACATTGTTCCATTACCGAAATCCGTGATTAAATAAATTCTTAATTGCCGCAACCAGAAACTTGCAAATTTGTACCAGTTGTCTCCAGTTGCCAGTTTCCGCAACCGGCAACCGCAATTCGTGGAGGAATTTCACTTCCTTCCCTGTCCCCCACAACGTCAATCTTGACCGTGGATTTCGAAAGTTTGTTTAAAATTGCTTTAACCGGCAACTAAGCCTTTTAGTTGTTACAACCGGCAACCGTTAATGGAAACTTGTAAAAAGTTGCCAGTTACGTCAAGTAAAGTTGCTCCATATAACGTAGTAGCGGCAAACGGGTGGGTGCGGACGCTACTGTTCGCTAGCGGACGTTCACGGTATCATAAGGGATGTTCCTCATCAGTGTGCGCTTGCGTAAAATCTTTTTCGATGCACTCCCGCAATCCGCCGGTTTGCTCTAACTTTAAATTAGGAGTAGATACAGTAATGTAATTATGTAGGTATATATAGGGTGCCCGTTGAATAGATACAACAATATCAATCGGTGACAGAACTCACAACAACAACAAATTTGTTTCACTATTCGAAAACAATGCATGCATCAAAGATGAAGACTAATGATACTAAAGTCTGTTCCAATCCATTTTCAACAAAAAGTAAACAAATCTGTTTGGTTAAAATTATAAAACAAACACTCAATAAATCGAATAAGTAACAGTTTCACGTATATTTCGATTTGATATCTCATCACTTTTCCAACAATATTTATTTGAATAGCATCGTAAAATTGTATTCGAAAAATGGTAGTCTAAAAGCGAGGTTATTTTTCGTCTATACATCTATGACTTGTTGCATAGTGCTGTACGAAAAAAAAAACATTCTGTTCATTCAATTTAGGTTTATGAAATCGATTAGTAAATCGAATGTTTCAATCGCAATCGTACGTAGATACTCGTTAGTGTAAGGATTTGAAGGAGGACTTAAAATTATATTTCGGAAATTTGAGATATGCTTATATAGGGTATGTAGGGAAAACCGCTAGTATGACTCAATTGAACAAATCGATTCATTCAATTAATTAATCGATTTGTAGTTGGCATTATAATTGGGCATCACTAAACCGTCTATGGTCGGGTCAGTCACATATTTGTTTACATTTTGTTGAAAATGGTTGAAACGAAGTATAGTTTAATTATATTATCGAAAGTTGTGTATCAATAATTTTACAATTATGACACCGGGAAAAACATTCTACTTATTTATACGTAGATTACCATTCCCTTAACCGAGGCCTGCTTATGACGACTTAATTGTAGTGTGCTTTCAATTCCGAGAGCCAATAAAAGTTGAGCTACGACCCGTTACTTAATATTTTGAGAGAACAGAACTTTGTGATCATGTTTTTGACAAGCTCACAGATATTTCCGTCGGATAGTATTTTATTTATTAATGATATTCTTTAATGGACTGATTTTCAGTTGTTTTTAAACTATTCGAAACGTTTCTTAGCATTAGATAAGTCTGAAATAAAAATCAGTTTTCTTTTTATAAATAACCGAAAGAAAAAAACGTTCGGAATTTGTTTTCTGAATTAGGTCTATTTACCATAATATTATTTGAATTGATATTTCTTTAGAAGAATTAAATAAATGAATCTAAATTAGCAATCCGTAAACTATGTGCAGGTTACGGTAAACATCTCAATTATACTCAATATAACAGGGTGTTACAAAATGGTAAAAACAATATTGCATCTCCAGTGAAACCGACTTAATTTTAATAAAAAATAAGTGCGCATTTCTGCCCTCGTTGTCATAACTAACTCAAATGCGTTTCGGTTACTTTCGATTTAATGACACCTAAAGTTTTATTGTCAATTAAGCTTACGAGATTTTGTTTAACAATAAAACTGAAACGAAAGAAGATATCGATGCCTTACTTTCTCAAACTCGTCAATTCTCGTCGTAATTTTGTGCTTTTTATTTACACATTTATTTCAGGCCATACAATATATACCTTAAGGACTAACATACATACAATATAAATAAAATAAACAACTAATGTACACGTATTGCACTTGTTGGCGACGTGTGGCGCAATCTGGTGTCAGGTAACCGGCCGCGGAATCGCCGATATATGACACCCTTCGGCTAAAACTCTTCCTTCAAGAAGGCCGACAGATGATCGGTCGGCACTCTCATCACAAACGAATTAAAATTTACGTTGTGGCGGGACTCCAACCGCTAGACCCTCAGGGTGTACTTTTGGCTTTTAGGCTGATGTACTCCACTATCTCCTCAGAATTCGTGGAGTAATGTAGTCGCGACAGATACAGCAGCGTCGTCGTCGGTGTTGCTGAACGGAGCAAAACTGGTGGGCTTCCTCTTCCTCTTCACCACTTTTGTGAAGCCTTCTTCGTCGCATTGATACGTCTACCTCTGTGGTTTTGCAATTTCGGAGACAGGCACACGGGGATTACTTTTACTCTTAGCCGATTGCCGCCTCGAGTTTCGAAGTGGCGGGTCGGCTGGTAGAAGCGGCTACAGCGGCGTAAGCACGTGCAGGGGCTAACATGCATACGCGTGACGTTTCCGCTGGTGCGCAGGCGCGGGCAGCAGGGCGCGGCACATCACGCGCGACGGCAGCAGCGATCGGTGACGCAACCATTTGTGCCGACTCGACACTGCTGATGGATGCATTTTGCGCCACACGACGCGTGTTTACATTAGAGATTTCTGGTGACCTACATACCGAAGCAGCGTTGCTTAATAACGCAACTTGGGCACGCAGTTCACTTATGGTGTTATCTGAAGCCTCCAATCTACACTGCAACTTGGCCAGGCTTGACTTCAGGGAAGTGATATCCTTCAGCGGCCTGGTAACATCGACGTGGTCGAACGTGACGGGGGGCAGTTTGTGCAACTCCTTCGCCACGAATGTAGGCACGTCGTCCGGGTCAGTCTCCTTCAGGAGTGTGATAACATCCTGGAGACTCTTCACGCCTCCATCCCTCCGGCGAGATGACATCTGCTCAGCTTTGCCGAGGATCTCGAACAACAGCATCTTGCCACTGCAAATATCATCCTCGTTGAAGTTGGATTTGCAGATCTGCACGATGCTGACTTCGTCCATGGTATCGATGGCGTGTTGGACAAACGCCAAAAGCTCATTCGCTATGAGTTGTTGGGAACCCACTGCCACTTACGCGCAGCGGTCTATACCGCGCGAAACTTGAATTGTAATAATTCCCACAGCGTATTGGACGCGTCCGTTTCCGAACGCGCACCGAAATGCTTTAAGGCACGAGCTTAAGAAAGTAAGACGGACGATATTAAAAAACCGGTTAGAGGAATTTGTGTATCACGTTTTGCTGATCCCAGATTATTTAAAATATAATATTAGAATTCAATTTCGCTAAAAATTTCGATTACGTTAGTTATGATAAGGACAGATTTGACCTCCATCTCTTCTGGTGGAAAGTGATGATTTGAAGAGGTCCAAGTTATATCTTTAAATGAATAAGTTTGCAGGCAGGGAATTCCACTCCTTAGCCATTTGTAACCTGTCAAAACCGGTTCACAGATATTATAGTATTAATATTAATGATATTCTTTATAGACTGATTTTCAGTTGATTTTAAATTAAAGTAGTTTTTAAATTAGAATGTTTGTCGGTTCCTGGTAGGACCAAT